AGCAAACTCCTGCTGAAGAGAGGCGATGACACGGCTGAGTAAGGACGGACTGGAGGCTGTGAGGACAATATCATCAACGTAGAGCAGCAGATAGGCAGTCTCAGCTCCATGGTGATAGATAAACAGGGACGTATCTGACTTGGCCTCCACAAACCCCAGTGTCAGCAGGAAAGCAGCAAACCGAGAATACCACGCCCGGGGGGCCTGCTTGAGCCCGTAGAGAGACTTGTTGAGCCGGCAGACCATGTCCGGACGAGAAGAGTCAACAAACCCCGCTGGCTGGCTGCAGTAGACCGTCTCGGTGAGAGTCCCGTGGAGAAAGGCATTTTTGACGTCCAGCTGATGCACGGGCCAAGAGCGACTGAGAGCCAGGGAGAGCACTGTGCGTACGGTGGCCGGCTTCACCACGGGGCTGAAAGTCTCATCATAATCAACTCCAGGGCGCTGAGTGAAACCCCGGAGAACCCAGCGAGCCTTGTACCTCTCAAGGGAACCATCAGCCCGCCGCTTGTGTGTCGAGATCCACTTCCGGTGACGACGTTGGATCCGGGTGGACGGGCACCAGATCCCATGTCTGGTTGGCGAGGAGAGCCGCGTACTCTCTTCATCCATCGGCGGGCGCCAATGAGGGTCCGACAAGGCGTCGCGAACGGAAGAGGGTACAGGAGAGATCTGCGGGTCGTCGGGCATCGTCGCGAGAGCCCGGGGCCGCAGGGTACCAGCCGCGTGTCGCGTCACCATAGGGTGAACATGCCGCGGGTGTCGGTGAAGGAGTTGCGGGTGGTACACCGGCGACACGACACGGGCAGCCTGAGGCGGCGGCGGCGGTGTAGGGGTCGCCGGCGGAGAAGGGGCCACCGGTGGTGTAGGCGTCACCAGTGGAGAAGGGGACCCCGGTGATGCCGGAGGCAGCGGTGCCGCCGGCACACGGCGCGCCGCAGAGACGCGCACCGGCCGGGCGAACGCAGAGGAGGTGCGACAGCGGCATCCCGGACCAGGCTGGGGGACGAGGCGCGGAGCAGCTCGAGGGCGACGCTCCCGACCCGGCGAAGGCGCAGGCCGGGCGTCGGTGGGTGGGTGGCGGGGGCACGGGCCCGGCGAGGGGCACGGGGAAGCAGTACCTGCAGGAGACAGCGGTAAAAGTGGCTGGACCACCGTGTCAGTGGGAAACAAAGAGAAGGGGTCCGGATCGGGGGTGGGAGATGGTGTGGTGGTGGTGGAGAAGGGGAAGACAGACTCATCAAACACCACATGGCGAGAGATGATGACCCGACGGGAGGTGAGGTCAAAGCACCGGTACCCCTTGTGATCCGGGGAGTACCCAAGGAAGACACACAGAGCGGGCAGGGAGCCGGCTGTGGGGGAGCGGTGGCGGTGGTGTTAGGGAAACACGCACACCCGAAGACACGAAGGTGGTCATACCGAGGAGGGGTACCGAAGAGAGCATGGTGTGGTGTGGGAGCCGGGCAGGCAGCGGAAGGAAGGCGGTTAAGGAGATAGGTGGAGGTGTGCAGACTCTCTGCCCAGAAGCGAGCAGGTAGCGACGCCTGGAGCAGAAGGGTGCGCATGGTGTCGTTCGTGGTGCGAATCATGCGCTCGGCCTTGCCGTTCTGGGAGGAGGTATACGGGCAAGACATGCGCAGCTGAACACCGTGAGAGAGGAAGAAGGCACGGGAGGTGCCGTTATCGAACTCACGGCCATTATCACACTGGACGGCCTTGATGGTGAGGCCGAACTGAGTAGACACCCAGGCGAAAAAGTGGAGAAGAGTGGTGAAGGTATCCGACTTTGCACGCAAAGGGAAAGTCCACGAATAATGCGAGAAATCATCAACCACCACAAGATAGTATTTATACCCAGAAATGCTGATGACAGGAGATGTCCATAGGTCGCAGTGTACAAGATCAAACACATGCGTAGCATGTGAAGAAGAAGAACAAAAAGGGAGACGAACATGACGGCCCAGCTGGCACGCATGACACAAGTGCTCATCGTGAGCCCGAGTACAACCAATGTCGGAACTGCGACTAAGCTGCGTCAGAGCATCACGTCCAGGATGGCCAAGGCGACGGTGCCAGGTGGTGGAAGGAGTGGCGGCGAAGGCAGCTGACAAAGTAGACGGCGACGAAGATGAAGCAGATGCCGGAAACCGAAGGGTGTAAAGGGGTCCCGTGCTGTCACATCGGAGAAGAGGACGCCGGGAAGCCAAATCCTTTACAGTAAGATCAGAAGAGTCAAATTCAACAGAACAAGAATTGTCAGCTGTAAAACGACGAATAGAAAGAAGGTTGTGAACCATAGAGGGTGCAACAAGAATGTCAGGAAGACGAAAGGAACCATGAGTGCCGGCGGCACCCACGGACGTAACTGGAATACACGAACCATTCGCGACCATGATGGACGAAGGATGAGAGGAAGAAGGAGGGTGAATAGAAGAGAGTATACCAGGGTCTGGAGTAGTGTGGTAAGTGGCACCCGAATCGGCAATCCAGTCGGTACCAGCAGGCGGTGTCAGGGCCATGGTGCTGAAGGATCTGGCCAAGGCCGCCGGGTTCCAACCGACAGGCCCGGGCAAGGTGTCGGGAGGTGGCACCCACGAAGATGCGCCGGGAGGTGGAGCCCACGCAGACGGGGAGTGAAACCCCGGAGGAGCTCCAGTGAGCAAGGCTGCTGGTGGGCGAGGCTCTCCGCCTGGAGCCGGGAAGGGCCACATGGAGATGCGCCCCGACCACGGGTTGTGGAAGGAGGGCCAGGGTGCACCCCGTGGAGTCGCGGGCGACTGCACCGGTGTGTGGTGGCTTCCGCGGCCCCCACGTCCCCCTCCGCGGCGACGGCGGCCGCCACGGCCCCCCCCACCCCCGCCCGGCCCGGGGGGAGGAGAACCAAGAAGCGACGACGGCGGTGGAGCGAGGGAACGCGCCGGAGGAGTAGCGGCCAGGGCAGTCGAGGAAGACGAGGACCCTGGCGTGGAGGTGGACCCTGGCTGGATGCCCTGAGTGAGCTCCTCCATGACAAGGTCGTCACGGACCTGCAGGAAGGAGGGAAAGGGCCTCTGCCGGGTGATCCACGTCCGGAGGTGGGCGTAGCGGTCACTGAGCCCGCGGAGGACATTGAGGACCAGAATGCGGTCCTCCACGGGCCAGCCAAGGTCGCCGAGGGAGTCCGCCATGCTCTTCATGCGCGCCGCAGAATGCATCGCCAACGGAGAGGTCACCCGAACGAAGGGCGGAAGCTTCGCATCGAGACGCAGGGCCAGGCCGGCATTATGTAGCCCCAGCCCTCGGCGCAAGCCGAGCCCGGCGAAAGCGTCAGAAAGTTAGGGTGACGAGGTCGTGGAGGTCGTGGAGATCGTCCCAATGATCGAGGAGAGGACGACGCTGTCTAAGCGCGCAGCCACGATGAGGTACGGACTGCGCACCGAGGCGTCGACTAGTACGTGGTCGTCGAGGGCGTGGCGGCGGGGTGAGGAGAACCAGTCCCTCCGGTGGGCGTAAGAGGCGACTTCGAGTTCGAGGACGACGGGACGAGGAGTCGGATGTTCTGGACACCCCGGCCCGGTAGTGGAGCCGAGCGACGTCTGGGTCGGCGGGTCGTGCGGATGACCGTGGTGTGAGACGCGGTGACCCGCCGAAACGAGGAGGTGGCATGCGTGTCGAGGGGATGTAGGGAGGACGAGGAGCTGCTCCGCCTCAGCGATCTGGCGGGTCAGGGCATCAGCCGCGTCGCGCTCGCGTTCCAAAGCGAGGGCGGCCGCCCGCCGAACTGGCCTGGTCGCAAGAAGCAGCACTGACTGTCAGCCACGAGCAGCAAGTGGTGGAGTTGGCCCCGCCGTCTGGAGAGAGGGGCAGGGGGCGGCAGAGGAGGAGGAGCGGGGAAGAAGAAAGGCTCCAGGTTCTCCCCCGCGCCCCCAAAATGGCGTGGTTGTCTGCGCGCGCGCCCCTACTGCAATGGCCGGCGGCGGCAATACGCAAGCCAAGCTCGCCAGCCAAGCTGGGCCACTAACAAGGCGCCAAGGCATGGCAGCAGGCCGCCGCCAAGGCCCGTGTTGGCCAAACCCCACCCGGCAGCGCCAGTACTAAGCGCCACAGCAGCGGCCTTGACAATGGCGCATCAGCATCGTCATGCAGGCAGGAGGAGGCTGCCAAGGCTGGGCCAGACGGACGGTAGAAGGAAGGAGGGAAAGCCTGGAAGTAGGTTGGGGAGGGAGGGGGAGGGCGGCCGGCCATGGCGGCGGCAAGCAGACGGCCGGCGGCGCCTGGCGGCTGGGTGGGAAAGGGGAGGAAAGCCTAGTCTGATACCATGTTAGAATTGTGTATCCATTCTCATGCTAACCCTAAAAGGGTAGCAATGTATATTGGTCATACATGAGCCTCATAGGCCTAATATACTCATACTCTCATACTCCAACACTTACCAATACCTTGTCGGCATGCTGATCGATATATGGTGCGGGCAGACATTGGGATGATCACATTCTCCCAACAATGTGCACAAGTAATAAACGGTACTGAATAGAAGTTTCTGAATACTGGATTCTTCTACTAAAAATTGTTATCTATGAATATCCTTAGATGCAGATTATGTTCTGGCTGCATTTGTTGCACATTACCCTTAAAATGAACCGGAGGACCAATGAACTGTTGGCACAAAGGGCAGCCTTCTGGTGGCCTGCAGCATAACTATCGGTTGTCCATGAGCATACCCGATGAATAAACAACTCTACTGCTGGAAAACGAACTCACAGAAAAACGCTGTCACATCATCTGAGATGAGCGTTAATTCCATAGCACACACACACATAACCACTTTTACGGTTATATAATATCCATACATGTATAATACAAACTTTTTGGAGTTCTAGAAGTACTAGATAAACCGCCTATTGGCGTATCAATCAGCCACTACATTATTACAAGCCATGGCTGACTATGGGCTATGGCATTCGAGAATGCCGTCACATTACAGTTGTAGGTAACCCTTTCATCCGCATGGGGCAAGCTCACGCATCATCGTCACCTTCAACAGTGTTGACACGCTCACACTCATCAATCCATTCACTATATCTGTGAGGGGAAAAAATGATTCCGGCTCAGTTTCAGTTGAGGATAAACATAACAGATTTATTACTAATTTGCAAAGATTGACAGGATTGACTTACATATCAATAGGCTCAGTGAGTGCTGCAAGAAATAAATCAAATCAGACAATTAGTAACTAATAAACATAAGGAAATACTGCTTAACAATTAACTTCTACTGATCCCTCCATTATCTATGTATGGTATTCCATTCAGTTTCACTTTTGATGGATGCAGTTTGGACTTTGGACATTCTACGAATCACATACTCAGGAATTATCATGGACACGTGAATACATAGGAACAGCCAACCCACAAAGTCCACCATATTATTACAAAGACAAGATCAGAAGCTGAAATGGTTTGTAAGTTATGTTCTGTTCACAGGTGGCATGAAAATTTCACATTGCCTTGTCCATCAGCCCAATAATAAGAAAACGAATTCATGAGTTGCTTGATGCAAAACTTTCTAGGAGCAAATTAGTACAGTTCATAGAAGCTAAATTAGGAGCAACTAGTATAGTTTTATACATAGTTTTGACATACCATTAACAGTTGTGCTAAAGTTTTCCTGACAGATTCTACAAGAAGCTTCGCCAATAAGATTCTTCATGTCACTGGAGAAAAGAGAGAAATCAAGTCAAAAATTCTGAATGCAATACCAAATCCAGCATCAAAGGCTAAACAGGAAAGCTGGGGAAATGATACTCACATTCGGCACTCAACACAGCTCCCATGATTGCAGAATGGGCAGGAAAAGACAGTGTCAAGCTTGTCCATCCGCTTCTTAGGAGGCGGCTTAGCAGCTGACTTTCTCTTCCCCATGGTTCAACTTCTTTTCTTCCTTCAAATCAACCCAAACCACAGTGATTAAGGATCCTAATCGACCTTAAGATGTACACTTATATGCAGTTGTAGTTGTAACTAACAAGCCACAAGGCAGCAATACTTACAACAGATGCATACAAGGAAATCCACTGCAATCTGTGCGGTGTGTAATACATATTGCTATGCAATACAAAACATGCATAGAAGTTACCAAATAACATATCATAATACAATACCTAACTAACAACAACTTATCAGGAAATTCTAACACAGATATTCTCTGGGACAAAACCTAAAAATAAGAACTCGTATTTGGCACAACTCTCAATTCAATCTGCCTCTTTTCAATTGCAAAAAGCAAAGGTTTAATAAACCACCTACAAGCGGTTTGAACACAGGAATTTAAAATGGAATCAAGAAATTAGGAAAATATTTCTTGTCTGCTAGGTTTATTTATCTGAATCAGATACATAGGATTAGGAAAACTATAGCTTCTCATTCCAGATCTGTACATCCTAATATCATGTAAGAGATAGTATTTGTGTTTTAGCTATGGGAAATGGGGAAAGACATAAAGAACCGAAGAAATTTGGGATGAGTAACCCTAATCCCTAGATAACCGATTCCTGGCGCCTTCAACCACGAACGGGCCAACCAAACAACAATTCTTAACTGTATCATCATCTAATTCAACTGAAATCCCACTCAGGACCCCCCACAACGACGGATCGGGCGGATCAGCTTCGACAATAAGCGCACACAATCGACGCAAAATACACGCTCGAAAAAAATGGAGGCAAAGCACAAGCCACAGGCAATCGCAAGAAGAACATGAAGGCAATAAAAAACAAGAGAAATGTTAAAGGAATTTTTGGGGATCGAATCTCACCTTGGGTGCTCGAAGGGTTGGGGTTGGGGAACGCCGGAATGGAATGGTGGGGAACGGGTGAGGGGAGAGCGTTTGGAGACGACTCCTTATAACGGAAGGAAAGGAAAAGTTTCGGGGAACGCGGGGGGTTGGGATGACGTCTCACTGACGGCTAGGTCCCACCGGTCCACATAACGGACGCACCCGTCACCCGTCGGGCTCGAGGCCCATGCCGACCGGATGCCACCCACGCCGCCGCCACTGTCGCAACGCCTGCCGGCGGCGGCCTGAAGAATATGGCAGCCGCTCACGCCGCCGCCGCCGCCACGCGGCAAGCAGCGGCGGAGGCGTGTAGTAACCAACACGCGGTCCACCACGCGCACCTCGCGGCTCTCCTCAACCCTTCCGCGCGGTTGCCTCCGCTTCCGCTCCCTCTCTGCCGCCGCCACCTCCCGCTCTCGCTCCCCGCGGCCTCTCGCCTCGTCGCGTCCTTCCCGCCGCTCCCGCTCCTCGTCTGCTTCCTCCGCGCGCTCCGCCTCCTCCCCTCCCCGCCGCCGCGCCCCTTCGACTCGTTCATCAAGTCGTATGCCTCCCTCCCCTCCCGCTCCTCCCTCGCCGCCGCGGCGCTCGCGTTCGCCAGGTCGGCCGGGTACGCCCCCTCTGTGCTCGCCTACAACGCCGTCCTCCTCGCGCTCTCCGACGCGTCGCTCCCCTCCGCTAGGCGCTTCTTCGACTCCATGCATAGCGACGGCGTGGCGCCCAACGTGTACACCTACAACATCCTCGTCCGCGCGCTGTGCGGCCGCGGACACCGGAAGGAGGCGCTCGGCGTCTTGCGCGAGATGCGCGGCGCGGGCTGCGACCCCAATGCCGTGACTTACAACACGCTCGTCGCGGCGTTCTGCAGAGCCGGGGAGGTGGATGGCGCGGAGAGGCTGGTCGGCATGATGCGGGAGGGCGGCTTGAAGCCCAACCTGGTGACCTTCAACTCGGTGGTTAATGGGATCTGCAAGGCTGGGAGAATGGAGGACGCACGCAAGGTGTTTGATGAAATGGTGAGGGAGGGTTTGGCGCCGGATGGGATCAGTTATAACACCTTGGTGGGTGGGTATTGCAAGGCGGGGTGCTCGCACGAGGCATTGTCTGTGTTTGCAGAGATGACGCAGAAAGGGATCATGCCAGATGTCGTGACATTTACGTCATTGATCCATGTAATGTGCAAGGCTGGGAACTTGGAGCGGGCAGTGGCGATGGTGAGGCAGATGAGGGAGAGGGACCTCCAGATGAATGAGATCACTTTTACAGCCTTGATAGATGGGTTTTGCAAGAAGGGATTCTTGGATGATGCATTGCTTGCAGTAAGGGAGATGAGGCAATGCAGAATACAGCCTTCAGTGGTGTGTTATAATGCACTTATTAATGGTTATTGTTTGGTAGGAAGAATGGATGAAGCAAGAGAGTTACTCCATGAAATGGAAGCTAAAGGAGTGAAGCCTGACGTTGTGACATACAGTACGATTCTCAGTGCGTACTGTAAGAATGGTGATACACATTCTGCATTCCAATTGAACCAACAAATGCTTGAGAAGGGTGTTCTTCCAGATGCAATCACCTACTCATCACTCATAAGGGTTCTTTGTGAGGAGAAAAGACTCAGTGACGCCCATGTACTCTTCAAAAATATGATTAAGCTTGGCCTACAACCTGATGAATTTACATACACATCCCTTATTGATGGCCACTGCAAGGAGGGCAATGTAGAGAGGGCTCTTCCTCTGCACGATGAAATGGTAAAGGCAGGAGTTCTCCCTGATGTTGTGACTTACAGTGTGCTTATTAATGGGCTTAGTAAATCAGCACGTACTAAGGAAGCACAACGGTTGCTCTTCAAATTGTACCATGAAGAGCCAGTTCCAGCAAATGTTAAATACGATGCCCTGATGCGTTGTTGTAGGAAAGCTGAGCTTAAGAGTGTGTTAGCTCTCTTGAAGGGATTTTGCATGAAAGGTTTAATGAATGAAGCTGATAAAGTTTATCAATCAATGTTAGACAGAAACTGGAAGCTTGATGGATCTGTCTACAGTGTGCTTATTCATGGGCATTGTAGGGGAGGAAATGTTATGAAAGCTCTCAGCTTCCATAAGCAAATGCTGCAGTGTGGTTTTGCTCCAAATTCAACAAGCACTATTTCCTTGATTAGGGGTCTATTTGAAAAGGGATGGTTGTGGAAGCAGATCAGGTGATTCAGCAGTTGTTGAACTGTTGTTCCCTTGCTGATGCAGAATCATCAAAGGCTCTTATTGATCTCAACTTAAAGGAAGGTAATGTGGATGCAGTCTTAGATGTTCTGCATGGCATGGCAAGGGATGGACTGCTTCCAAGTCCAAGATGAGGGTGATTTTCGACATTCAAGAACCACCCTCTCTTTGTGGAATACTGGAGAACTGATGGTCATAGTTGTCTCACGAGTCATCGTAACACAAAAGGATCAAAATCAGTGTTACGTGGCAGGATATGGTCTGCCATAAGTCATGATGTGCTCCATATGGAAGGGCTGAAAGAAGTTATTACCTCATGCGTCATAATTATGTGAAGTGAGCAACCATTTCTGTCTCATTAACATCTCTGCTCTTAACAAGTGAATTAAATTGTGTTTCTTGATTTTGTCCTAGCAGCTTCTTCTATTGTTGTTTATAATAATTATTAGGTTAGAGAAGGTGGTAGTGGATTAGTGGTACTTGCTATTTTATGATGGATTACTTATTGTCTTTGTTTTAGACACTAAAAGATCATGATATATATAGTCCGTGAACTCACTAGAGTTTCCAAGGTGATCTGATCTTTATTCAACATCCCTGCTGATACCAATCTTTCTTTATAGAAGTTATAAAATCAGTGATACGTATGTCATATTTCTAAAATGATTTACAATGGTGTGATGAGGGTCTACTATGTAATATGCAAAACTCAGTTTCATAATCAACAATAATATAATACATTTGAAAAGTAAAGGCTGATGAAGCATTGACAATGGAAATGGTGTAATTAACTAAATAATTTCATGACCAGACACTTTTGTCCTTTTTGTGCCTTTTGGGTTGACAGCAAGTGACATTCCTGTGGACTACCAGTTGATTACAATTGTTATAGTAACAGGTTCATCTTGCTTCACAGCAATACTTAATTTCATGATAGGGCAGAAGACACTGCTTCATGCTTTCTAAGTAATGACCCTTTTAATATATATTATATCAGTCTACTGCCTAGTCTAGTGCTTCTACAACCCTTTCTTTTTCTTAGAGGGTAAAACAAAATAGCATGTTTCATTGTATTCTCACTTCATTCTCTTTGTATCATAGATTTATCTTGTTAAAGTTGACAACACAGGAAAAAAAATGAATTTCTGGCATTCGGTTCTTCTAATTATGTGCTTCCCTTTTTTTTCTGGGTAAATCTCCTTGTTTTGATACAAGAATATCCTGCAGGATGAAGAATTGCATGGTTGAAAGGACAGACAATTCAGTGCATGAAACACCAATGCATTAGGTATCCACCTGTGTCCCTGATGATGCAACTTTGAGAAAAGGAATCAACAGTGGAACAGTAGTGTGTTTTATCTGCCATTGGGAGTGAAAAGCCAATATACCATGAAACTGGAGATTATCATTCGTTTCTCGCTTCTCACTTGAAGAAAGGAAAATGAAAATCAAAGCAAGAAATTCACGGAAAATGAGGAGCTTGAAGAAAATGGAACGTCAATGGCAATGAATGTATACATGTGGTTTGCACTTACAGGTACAATTATCTAATTCACTAGCGATGGGTAACTTATTTCACAATGCTCAAGTTCCAACTTAACATCGACTACTTTTTCTATGTACCTGTAGCAAATTAAGTACCTGCGCATTAGCTCTTTTCTTGCATATATATCATATATGCAGAAGCCAGAAACCGTTGGCACCAGCTAAACTCTTCTCATTTTTCTAATTTACATCAAATTGTATGGTGTCAGATTTCAGATAGCTAGCCACCTAGCCCTCCATCTTCTCTACCTTCCTCAGCACCTCCGCCTCCCTGTCAGCTATTGCCTTGGCCTCCTCAGCGGTGAATGGTGGCGGCAGTGTGCATGGGTCGAAGCCTGCGACGTGCCTCTCCATGGAGTCCATCATGCAGTCCCGGTGCAGGCCCTGTGCGGGGCAGGCCATGGATTCTGTGCAGATTTCCACGGCGTTCTCCTGTATGGTAGGCTTGTACCGGAGCAGCTTGGCATAGTCGGTGAGCAGGTGCAGCATGTAGTCATAGATGTAGTCCATGCTCATCTCCTCCCTCACAAACTGGCTGCCCTGCTCGCCGATGAGCTGCGCCTGCGCTGGGTGCTCGTTGCCCCAGTCGACGGCGAACTTGATGGATTTGCAGATGTGCTCCCGGTTGATGGGCCAGTAGTGCTTGCCGGCGACGAGACCCCTGGACAGGATGTCCTGGAAGGGCGTGGTGACGAACAGCACCGGCGAGTCGCACGCCAGGATGTACTTCTCGCTCACCGACCACGCGTTCCCCTCCACGTAAACCTTGTACCTGCATCCATTGGCAGATGATCTGAGCGACACCATGGATTTGGACTTGTGAATTTCACTAGAATTTTGCAGGAAGTCTCATATAATTTGTTATAAGAAATTAAATTGTGATCGTTCGTACAGTCTGAAAATCTGAATGTGCTTACCTGTAAATGCATTGCTTAGGTCTTCTCGAATCTTGGAACCCGTTTTGAATTGCATAATGCCAGTTCTACAGGACAGTAACATAAGGTAAATTGAGATCACCATCTAACTTGTAGGTATGGATGAAAACGGATCGGATGGGAGAGGAAAAAACAATGCCAGTGCTGTTTGTTTCTGAAGCACCTGGGTGAAGAGGCGGGCATTCCATTCTTGGCCGTTGGAGGCGTTGCATCTCAGGAGCTCGTGGCGTATGCGGTACCCCTCAGGGTTGCCCTTCCAGAACGCGTAGGGCTGCCTCTCCGGCCACCGCACGCGCTCGTTCTCCTGCCTGACCTCCTCCAGCAGCCGCGGCCACGGCCGGATGCCCACTTCCGGCCAGCCCCAGAAGGACCAGTCCGGGAACACGATGTCGAGCGTCAGGGCGTCCTTGCAGTACCGGAACACGGGCGGCGCGTCCGACGGTGTCGGGAAGTCGGCGGCGCGCACCTGGCCCGGGTCGTCGCAGGCGAACATGATGTCCAGGTCCGGGACGCGGCCCGGGTAGCGGCGCAGCAGCTGCAGGATGCCCCACTGCGTGAACACGTCCCGGGTCTGGTACGCGCGCCGGTACGTCTCCACGTACGCGCGCCCTCCCACGACCACCAGCCGGAAGTAGGCGTGCGGCCGCGCGCGCTCCACCGCCTCCCGCGTGATCCCGGCGCCACGCCACGGCCGCAGGTCGTCGTGGATGTACCGGAAGTAGTCCGGACACGACAGCGTCGGGTCGTCGCCGGGCGGTGGCAGCATCGTCGTCGTCGACGGTGGCGGCAGTGCTGGTGTCCCAGGGCATTCCGGTGGCGTCTCGTTGCCGCAGGCGAAAGGTATCGGCACGAGCGGCGCCGGAGAGTAGCTGTGGTGGCGACGCCGTTGCCCGGAGCCGATGCTGACCGTGTTCCCTAGTAGAGACGGCTGCGGTGGTGCCATTCGTGCAGGGGTATTCAGAGTAAGCTTACTTGTAACAATAATAACAGTATAAAAATTCGTATGCTGCACTGCTCGCACATTTTTTATAATCAGTTTCATTTTTTTTTTCTTAGTCATGAATGTGCCCATCTGGCCATCTTCTTCTTGTTTCAAAATATAAAAGACGTCCCCATCCAAGTCCTACGGACCCGTCTAGAACATCGCAAACTTCTCCGAGAACCAGCCTTTTCCTTTGAAAATTATGCAAACGATTACCGTGCACCAATAGAACATTTAGGCCAGATTAACACGTAATTGACCTTTTTTGCGAGAAAACACGTAATGATTGACTTAAGTTGCAACGGTGAGCAATACTAGCAGTCTCACAAAATGTAACACGAAGAAACACAAACACAGAGAGAGAGAGAGAGAGAGAGAGAGATTCATGCTTCTGCTTACAGCGTCGTCGAGGCCGGTCCATCTGCGCGCGCCAAGCAGAACGGCAAGAAGGACGAAGCCGACCATGACCGATCGCACGCCCCTCGTCCGCAGCACCGTCCCCGGCGACGACTACCGCCACCGCCCGGTCGGCGCCACCACCGGGGCGGCGCCGTCTTTGCGCGGCGCCCCGTCCTCCTCGGCGATCTCCTCCTCCGTTGCCGGTGGCACCAACGGCGACCCCTCCTCGCCCGGCGACGACGTCGAGGGGAAGACGGTGCTCCTCATGGCCAAGCACGATTGCACAAGCAGGCAGGAGAATGAGAGGAGCGAAAGGAAACTCTGCTGCGCTAGTCGGCTACACGAGTGGATCTTATATGTAGCTCGCCACGCCAAGTCAAACGCGCGGGGAAAACTCTCAGACTACCAATACGCCCATGCTTGAATTTTGGTACAAGGATGAATGAACAACGATTGTACTGGACAAGCACAACTATATACGTCTTTGGCATGAAAAGTAGCAGAATGGCATGTGCAGATGCGCAGTACGAATGCATTTGCTATCACACGTCAGTTTTTTCAGCGAAACGTGGACTTCTGTTCATAAGTTTGGCCGGGTCGCCTCCCCTGCTTGTGTTCATCGAAAAGATGCATTGAGAATTTGAGATGGCGTCGGAGCAACAGTGAGTACCCGAGCTTAGTTCAAGACTTACCAGCTGATTAGGACACAAAGCCCAAGACTTGACTTGACACGTCCAGAGAGAGATGGATATACTCCATTGCAATGGGATAGTGCTGTAGCGTTTACTAAAAAGCACAGGCGTATACTCATGGCAGCTGCTTTTTAAGTGGCAAATACGCATGTGATCAGTTATCCACCAATACATTTTGTACAACTAGCATAAAAATGCTCTATACACGTCGTCGTCAAGCTTTATACACAACATCGACTGTACATTTCAATGTATAGTAAGACCTGTAACTGTGAATGTTTGTTCTGAACAGTGTAACTGTGTAGTCTGTATGTTCGTTCAGTCACAACAAAACAATGGGGAATCAGAACTCGATCCCGCTGTTCATCTGAACCGAGAACCATGGGCGGCCGAAACCGTGGAGTGGGGCGTCTACTCTGAACACTAAGCCTGACCTTGCCGCTCCGCCGTTCAGCTTCGATCTTCCGATCTGCGACGATATCCAAAGATGATCAGCAGAGAGGAGGCAGGAAGTGAAACTTCTTCAGATGTAATGGTGGTACTGACTGGACAGACCGATATGGAGGCATATGCAGAAGGGGAAGCAGTGTGGGAGTAGCCGCAGACTATGCCGACGTTGTCGTTCGCCGAATGGATCAGCTCCATGCACACCCCAGGATGGCGGCCGCCGATCGTCGGGCATATGCTGCCCATCAGAAGAAGATACAGTCAGTTCAGATGCAATATGCAAGGAACAGGCAATTGTACTGACAAATTTTGTTATTTTCTAGTACTGTCAAAATTAAGAACTGTGGTTGATGTGATTTGCCTGATCTGCGTTGCTGGTTGCAGCATCAGGCCAGATGTCCTCCAAGACAATGCCTGGACGATCCCCAGCGCGAGAGACTTATCCGGCCACTGAACCATTGGCACGACGCTGCCGCCACTCCTGTTCTGCAAGCAACTGAGACGGCCTTTGTAAGTGCAGCAATGGCAATGCGATTAGAAAAAGTCTACGTAACCAACCAAACTATTTAGTGTGAACTATTTCACCTCACAGACTATAAGGGACTGCTTGATTGCCCGCCACCACGAGCCATGCCACGAGTAAAGCTGCCACACGTGTCAAGCCTGCTGTTTGATTGATCAATAAAGTTTGCCTGCCACAGCTTTAGTACTAGTTCGTCGTAGCAAATCTCGCCACACCGTGGCGGAGGTTTTTGCCGCCACAGCTCTGTGGCCACCACAGACTTAGTGTGGCAGACAAAGGCCATAAAACTACATTTTCTAACCCCTAAATTTTTCAAAACTGGTCAAATAACCCCAAACAGTTTGGCGACGACGGTGTGCTACAGTAACAGTGTTTTGTCTTTTTTCCGCTGAATCTTTGAAAAATCATAAAATGAAAAATTCAATTTTATTGGACTCCATATGAGTAAATCTACACAGTGAACATATAATATGTTATATTTTAGTATAAAGTTTTTGTTGTAGCTTTAAATCTATGTTTTTTCTGTAATTAAATGGAATAATTCATAGCTGCAACTTCTATGGTCCAATGGTGGTCAAATTTTGATGGTGGGCTAATTATTATATGCTTGAACTATAGTAAAAATTTTATACTCATTGATCATGTATAACTTAGTTATAGATAAAGCATAGATTTAACAAGCATAAACCTAAATAAATTTATAACTAAGTTATACATGATCCAATGAGTATCAAATATTTACTACAGTTCAAGCATACAATAATTAGCCCACCATAAAAATTTCACCACAATTGGACCATAGAAGCTGCAGCTATGAATTATTCCATTTAATTACAGAAAAACATAGATCTAAAGGTACAACAAAAACTTTATACTAAAACATATCATATTATATGTTCACTATGTAGATCTACTCATGTGGAGTCTAACAAAATTGGATTTTCTATTTTATGATTTTTCTATGATTTAATATGATTTTCAAAGATTCAACGGAAATAAATAAAAAGATAAAGATAAAACCACCGTTACTGATCGTCGTCCAAAACCGCTTGGGGTTATTTGACTGGTTTTATAAAGTTTAGATGATAGAAAATCTCGAGTTTTATAGTTTAGAAGTGAATTAGTCCACCTTAAATAGTTAAATAGTTGGGGGTTACGTGGACCTTTGCCCAATGCGATTCCTGCTGCAATGAAGCTTGATACGCTTCGACTATCAACTGACCTTGAAAGAGAAGCTGAGCCTCTTCTCCCCCGGGAATTTCCCATGGGCTTGCAAAATCCCGCCACGGAGAGGGAGGAAAGCACGCGTCGTGAAGCCGTCGCCGGCGACGTATCTTAGTTGCCCATTTGGGAATTGCATGTCCATGAACGACTGGCAGTGTTTGAACAAAATGTTCAGTTGAAGATCGACAGAAGATAGAAAACTAAAAGATGGCAGAAACAGGGACAGAAGATCGATCGCCTAGACTTACACAAGCGAATGGGTTGAGGCATAGCATGGACATGAAGAACCATCTCTTGTGAGCCGACCAATAAGCAGGGCAAACCGAGTGCACTCCGTTCTGCAAGAAGCCAAGAACAGATAGAGCTCTTGTGTTCTCAAGTCAAGGCATTCATTTTGCACAGTGTGTGATTCTTGGTTTAACGAAGCAATGCTTAAATTTTTGCGCGAATCAACGCACACACGCACCTTGCGCTCGAATCCGTACCAGATGAGGTGGCGCTTGGAGAGGTGCACCGGGAACAGCAGCGTCGTGTCGCGGACGAAGAGGACCGGGCCGAGCTGCACGAGGAACAGGTTGGCACCATAGCCGGCGCCGGCGCCTGTCGGGGCAGAGCCACTGGCGGCGCCGCTGCTGCTGCTGCTGCTGCTGCTGCTGTGCGACGCCTCCGCGCGCCACAGGTCGCCTCTGGCCACCACCGAGCTCTCCACGTCGTTCGTCCTGCTGTCGTACGTCGCCGACAGGTTCATGCTCCCCTGCGCCCGCGCGAACCTACCGGAGGAGCCGAGGGGGTCGTCGCCGCCGCCGGTGGCCTCCTCCTCGCTGACCGCGGCCGACGCTCCGGCCGCCGATCGTCTCCCGCCATTCTTCTTGCCGGCGTTGCGCCGGCGCTGCTTCGGCGCGCCGCCGCCGGAGTAGAAGGTGTCGTCGATGCTGAGGCGGCGGAAGACGTCGCCCACGCGCAGGCGTCCCAGGCGTCGAGCACGGCGGCGGCCACGGCGGAGAGCTGCTGCTTCTGCTGCGGCGGCGACGGGAGCGGGACGGGGAGGAACGCGGCGACGCGGCGCGCGAGGTCATCGGCCGCGGCGGACATTGGCGGGTGGACACGGACTCACGGAGCGCGCGCGCGGGGCACACCCTGGTTCGGGGTGATCGTTGGCCGTTGGAGGATAAGGGGCTCGTGGCGGGAGGGAGCTGGAGAGGGGAGGGCGGAGGTGAAAGGAGTTCAGCATGGACGAAGTGTATGGGGACGTGTCTTCTGTGTTGCGACTAGTTGTCTGCGCGGTTCCGCGGACGCGATCCATGAGATCGGATGGTGGGACTTGGCTACTTTTTTTTTTTTTCTTAGAAATCACCGCACTCTTTATTGATGCACTTGGTCAACGGAATTACAAATGCCAAAAGGTGGTTCTGAAAACCAGACATGCCTGTCTATATCGAACAAAATCAAACTCCCAGCTAGAGTATGAGCATCAACATTTGATTTCCTATTCTTATGAACAAAATCAACCAAAAGAAAATCATGAGCTCTGATTTGAATCTCCATCACAATTTGGCCATGTGGACCCATATTTCTTCCTTCCAAGCTCCTGATAGCAGTGGCACAATCCGATGCCAACCGTACTGAAGTTAACATTAGATCAACAGCCAAAGCAAGTCCTTCTTGTGCAGGCCATCACCTCATCAATTTTTGGTTCAGTAATTCCATCAAGAACTACTCCCGAAACTCCCAGAAAAATACCGGCCTGATCCTGGGCTATTGCCACCACTAATGCCCTTCTCAGATTCTTAGAAATAGCCGCATCTATATTCACCTTCATCCAACCTGCTGGTGGCGGCAACCACCGTGGCCTCTGACTCTGAACTTGTGCCTTTGCTGCCTGAGTCGGCTTTGCCGCTTGAGGTTCAGCAATATTTTTATAGATCGCATTCCTTCTTGTGTATCAGATTGCCCACATAGTCACCAACACCTGTATGAGATCAGCATGTGGCATTGTTTCTATCAAATTCGCCAACCAACCTCTTGAGTTCTCCTCTGCATCCCACTGAGGTGTTCAACGATTTCCTCACTCTCCAATATATGCCCATACACACCTCGCCATATTACACTACAGCAAGGAGTGTTCCCAAGAATCAGGAGCCCCACACAAAGCACAGTGGCCATGGTCTGCCATATTTCGATGGTGGAGAACATCAGCTGACGACAGAGAGTGTCTTGCAAGCCTCTGTAGAAACACCCGCACCTATGAAGGCACCATGACCTTCCACAAAGATATCCACTCCTTTTCTATTTGATCTTGCTATATTTTATGATAAATCATGCCTCATTATAAGCATTCTATATGCAGAACGAACGGTGAAAACTCCCTTTTTGTCATGGTGCCAAGCCTAGAAGTCCAGTTAGCTCCGATTGCACAAAGGGATATTGAGTATCACATCTATATCATCTTGCGTCAAGAATTCCTAAAGTTTTGCCCGATCCCAAGCTACTGATGTATGATCAATCAGCTTAGTCACAAGCTATGGCGGATGTCGAGCTACGCTAGGTATCGGCCTCCGCATGCTGTCCGACAGAAGCCAGTCCATACTCCAAATAGAAGTGGTCAAACCTGTGTCGATTCTCTTGATCAGACCGAGCTGAAGCACTTCCCTGCCCATCTAGCACTGATCGCCAAATCTTGGAGGGAGCGGAGCCAAGATTTGCCCCCAAGAGTCACCCTGTGGAAAATATACCATCTTTAAAATTCTGGCACTTAGAAATGACGGTTCCTGTAGGATTTGCCATGCCTGTTTCGCCAACAAAGCAAGGTTAAACAGCTCTATATCACGGAAACCCATTCCACCAAGGAACTTTGGCATTATCATATCGTCCCATGCAACCAATCATGTCTTCCTCTTTTCCTCCTTACTTCTCCACCAGAAAATTCTCAACAGACCGTTGATATGTTTGCATAGGCCTCGAGGGAAAGCATGACATTGAATAGGTGGGTATTGCTTGGGCAACGGATTTAATGAGCACTTCCTTGCCACCAGATGACAAGCATTGCTCCGTTCATCCCTGTATCTTATTCGAAATCCTGTCCTTCAAGAATTTAAAAGCTCCATTAGTTGTGGAGCCCACATTGGATGGCATTCCTAAATACTTTTCATTTAGACATTCATTTTGAACATTGAGCACCCACTTAATTTCCTCCTGAATATTTTGTTGACACTTCTTGGTAAAGTGAATTGATAATTTTTGCACATTGATCTGTGGGCCCGAAGTATCACAGTAAATCTACAAGATATCATTCACCACTGCCGCACTCTCCCTATTGGCTTTGAAAAACAGTAGGTTGCCATCCACGAAGAGAAGGTGGCTAACCATTGGTGCGCTGCTGGCACCACTTTAATACTACTACTAAGCTCTGATCGTGATTTTAAGAGGCTCGAAAGACCCTCTGCTGCTATCAAAAATAAATAGAGAGAGATGGGGTCTCCTTGACGAAATCCTCTTGTAGGCTTAAAACTACTCAAACAATCTCCATTTAAGAGTACGGAAAAAGAAATTGAGGAGACTAACTGCATAATCAGTTGTACCCATAGTTGGTGAAATCCGAGCTTGAGCATAATTGCTTGGACATAATTCCACTCAACCCGGTCATAAGCTTTCTTCATACCAACTTCAAAGCACAACACCTGAGGTCTTGAGATTTCTTTTGCTTCATGAAGTGTAGACACTCATAAATAGTAATAACTAGAAGCATACCCCATGCGTTGCTGCGGGAATTACGGATTAGAGATTGTATGGTATGATAAAATGTTCAACAAAATGCTTACGTGTCTTGCTGACGTGGACATTATAGTTGCATGTGATAGTGAATTTTAATTGTATGATTGTGCATTGCCTAGTTGGACAGCTTACGTGTTGAGATAAATATCCAGTGGAGTTTAGCTTAGTGGATTTTAATGGTATGTGATAGTGCATTGCCTAGTTGGACATCTTGCATGTTGAGATAAATAGTTAGTGGGGTTTTGCTTTATAAGAGTATAAGATATTATCAGTGATCAGCATGTCCGACACAAACACTGACTGTTTTATTTAGATATAATCTCTGGCAGCACCACTTTGAGTCTATTGGCCACCACCTTTGATACAATCTTGAAGACGACATTGCAAAGACTTATTGGTCTAAATTAACTCAGCTCCTCCGGACTAGCAACCTTCTGAATTATCACAATGAACGTGTCATTAATTGTAGCCAGATCATCTTCACCACTAAGCACCCTCAAGACCATCGATGTGATTTCCTTGCCATAAAGGTCACAATGTCGCTGGAAAAAATGAGCAGGAAAACCACCCGAGCCTGGAGCCCTAGTTGGAGATGAATGAAGGTTTGCTGGCGCCGTTTACAAAAAAAAGGAGGCGGGACTTGGCCACTTGGGAGAGCGTACGTAGATTACCTGTTGAAGTCATTGGCTGGGGAGATGTTGGTGTTGGGCCTGGCAGCCCGTATAGTGTGAATTGCAGTTTGCATATCTAAGTTAGGACAAACAGATCATTAGACCTCCGCCCATAAATGATGCTCTCTCTCTCCGGTCTCAATTACAAGATGTTTTGTTTTTTTATAGTTTTTACTATGCACTTCGACACCATGTCTATATATATAGTAAAAAACTAAATTTTAAAAAAAAAGTCAAAATATTTTATAGTTTAGAATGGAGTGAATAAGTCTATATATACACAAGTAGATTTTTACTTGTAATTTTTATAGAATCTACGATCTCATAGACAATTGAGTACAAATCTAGTGACTAGGAATAAGGAAACTATAGGTAATACAACTATGAACCAAATTTTATGCCTTAAGTTTGCATATAATTTAATTATTCATTGACCTAATTTGTAGATGTTGAACTCCTTTTAATTAATTAAGATACGCTTACCATTCTTGGCGGAGGGGAGTTCAAAGTCTTGTTTCGATCTATGAGGGGTCTGTTTGGATTCGTTAGCATTAAAAATTAGCTAGCTAATAGCTAATAGTTGCTATTTTTTAGCTAGCTAATTTGTAGTAGGAGGCCGTTTGGATACTCCAGCTAACATGTGGTTGGATAGTGAGTTGAAGGTGTATATGAATTATTAGCACATATTAGCGACTCTAAACTAACTAATGGGACTAACAGATAGCAACTCCTTGGCTAATAATTATTATTAGGTCTATTTGGATCCACTAGTACTAATTTTAGCTTCTAATTTTTAGTATTAATGGATCCAAACAGGCACTAGTACTAATCTTTAGTTGCGAAAATTTAGCAGGTGAAAATACTTACACGTCTGCTAATAAACCTGTTAACTATTAGTTAAAATCCTACTAACAAATAATTCTTTAGCCGGTAAAGAGTTGCTAATATGTGCTAATAGTTTCCACCTATTAGCAATAGATTCAGCAATCCCGTAGCAAATGTTGAACTATTAGCCAGCTAATTACTACAATAGCAGTAGTGGATCTAAACATGTTATTATATTATATTGTTAAAATTTAGAATGGTAAGCTTCTCTGGAAGTATGACACAATGCAAGTTACTTTTTGAACAGTACAAAAATGCAGCAGCAGCCGCTGTAAAGCCTCGGGATTCGGTTCCTTGGTTATTGATGGAATTCGGTTCCTAGAAAATGGGAACTGATCGGTTCCAAAAAAATTTAGGAACCGAGTATTTCGGTTTTCGGTTATTTCGTTCGGTTCCGGTTCTAGTCGAATTAACCGATTTTTTTCAATAGAGGTTAATACAACAAAAAAAAGTATAGGTTTTAAAGCAAATTTAAGCAACACTACATCTATTTTAGATAATAATAATTGATAAGAGAACAATAACAATATAGTAACACAAATATATAGTAATTCAATACGAGACATCACAAATAAATCCAACATAGTATTATAAAATACAAGTAAGTGAATTACAATTTATGTATTTTGGTTCTTTCGTTTAATTCGATTATCTGAGAGTAGGAATCGAAATTTGCTCGGGTTCTTTGGTTCCTCACAATCTGGAACCGAATAGGGAACCGATTTTGTCGGTTCCTGTTATTTCGGTTTCGGTTCCGATTCTTTC